TATTATAACTAGGAAGAAAGTAGTATAAATAAGGTTTTAAATTATAATATTAAAGAAGTAAAAGGATACTATATTACTAATATTATTCTAAATACTTTTTATAGTAATAATATTAGAAATCTTAGTATTAGTAACTAAGTAACTAAGAGTAAATAATAATATAACTACTTTTATATATATATATAAAGAAGTATTAGTATTAGTATTAATAAAACATTTTTTTTTAATATATAGATATATATATAAACCTACTAATATATTTTTACTTATATATTATTAGACTACTATATAAATATATATAAAAAGAATTAATCTTGTATTTTTTCTTTGTATTTTATATAATATATAAAATATAATATATATATTTATATTTATATTATATTATATATAGGAAAAAATATAATACAAATACATATATTATATTATACTAGAAAGAAAATATAAATACATATATTATATTTATATTATATTTATATTATATTCTTTTAATACTCTACTAGTAATAACTCTATATCTACTATATTAACTTTAATATTATACTTAAGGCTAAGTAGAAGTAGCTTAAGGACTACACCTATAGTAGTAATAGTAGTAAGTCTAATAATAAAGCCTATTAGCTAGTAATATAAGTAATAGCCTAGCTTAGTAATAAAGACTAGGCTTATATTAATATACTAGTAGATAAGCTACTTACTTATATATATTATAAGGTCCTTATAATATAGAAGCTAGTTATTTTTACTAAGACTAAGTATACCTTTAAGAAAACTTAGACTAAGCTCTATAAACAGTTTATTAACTAATACTTAATCCTCTAGTACCTCTATATAATATACTTACTTTTAAGGGTATAGTAAGCTTACTACTTTATTTAAAAATACTAAAACTTTAGTATTTATATTACCTCTAGTATAAAGTTAAGTAATAATAATATTAAAGGCTATTTCTTAAATAGTCTTAGTTACCTATATTAACTTATTAATATTATATAAGATATAATTAGTAATTAAAAGCTATACTTTAATAAATATATATAAAAGATAAAGTTCTTTAAGGCTAAAAGTATATAGGTCTTTACCTTAAGCTCTTTAGTAAACTTTATATACTACTTTTCTTAAAGTGTTTAGTGTTAATTAAAAAGTAATACTAGCTAGTAAAAAAGGTAATACTTTTTAGTAAAAGACTATTTCTAGACCTTATTAAAGAATATAGTCTAGACTATACTATCTTAACTAAGCTTAGTATTTTATACTACTATAAGATCTTTACTAAGATACTTAATTTAGTAGCTTTTAGTAAGTAAGAAGTATATCTTTAGTAGTATCTTTAATAAATATCTTCCTTTAATCTTTACTACTAAATCCTTAATCTAAAGATTATAGTATCTTTTTATAGTAGGCTAAAGAATATAGTATAGCTAGTCTTATTATAGCTAGCTTTACCTTTAGAGGGCTAGTTAACTAGCTAAACCTTTACTAAAAGTTATAGCTAAAGTATAAGTAGTAAAAAGTAATACTATTTACTTAGAAGTAAAAATAAGTCTATATAAGAAGTAAATTAACTAAGTTAAAGCTAGATTTTAACTTTATCTTAGTAATAAATAAAAAACTAGTCTAGTATTCTTAGTAAAAAAAAGATAATAAAAATTATATAAGTAAATAGCTACTTTAGCCTAGTATTTAAAGGATATAAAGTTAGTAAAAAATAGTTAGTAGTAATAATAAATCTTTATAACTATAATATAAGAAAGTAGCTAAGTAGTAAGCTTTTTAAATATAAAAAAGGTTATTTTTCTTAGAGTAAATAGAAAACTAGCCTAGTAAAAGGGCTAACCTTTATAGCTATAAAAAGTAAGCTTAATAGAGGGGCTCTTTTTATAGCTATAGAAAGTAGGCTTTATAGGGAGGCTCTTTTTATAGCTATAGAAAGTAGGCTTAATAAGAAGGCTAACCTTTATAGCTATAGAAAACTAGCTCTATAGGGGGCTCTTTTTATAGCTATAAGAAGTAGGCTTAATAAGAAGGCTAACCTTTATAGCTATAGGAAACTAGCTTAATAGGGGGGCTATTTTCATAGCTATAGGAAGCTAGCTTAATAGGGGGGCTATTTTTATAGCTATAAAGATAGCGCTTTTTATAGAGGCTATTTCCTATAGCTATAAAAAGAACCTACTTATAGAGCCTATTTCCTACAGCTATATAGGTTAATTAGTTAATAGTAGAATAAAATAGTAAAATAGTAGTGTTAGTGTAATTACCTTTACTATCTTTAAGGGGATATACTGTTTTTTTAGGCTAATAGAAGGCATAGAAAGCGGCGCCTAGATAAGAGCAGCGCCTATATATTAATTTATAGCGCCTATATATTAATTCTTATAAATTAAATATATAATAATTATACTTAGATAAGTTAATAATTAATATATATAGAACTAGTGTATTCTCTTAAGAATTACTACTAGTTAGCTAGTGTATAAAGAAAATACTTTTATATTTTATAATAAAATAGTTTATTAAATATTAAGTGTTATTAATTATAAGAAAGTACTAGAATTAGAAATAAATATTATAAACTTAATACTAATAGTAGTAAAATACTGTAGTCTATTATATTAGGTATAAAGTATATATTAGAATAGGATATTCTTAATAAAGCCTAGTATACCCTAGTAGTTTATAGTCTAGACCATTTATAAGTTAAAAGACTTAAGGAAATACTAAAGTCTATAAGACCCCTAAGAGAGTAATAAGAAGTAAAATTATTATACTTAAAGGCTTCTCTTAATAAAGATAAAAAAAAACAGCTTAATAATATAAATATTACTTTAGTAAAGAATAGTAAATAAAAAAGTCTCTTAAGGCCTAGCTAAAGTATATAAAGAAGTAAAAAAAAGTAAAGTTACTATTAACCTTAATACTTACTTTCTAAGTATAAAGTTAATTATTATAGTAAAGTAAAAAGTAACTAAAGAGAAAGTAAAAAAGGTAGTAAGAAAAGTAATAGCTAAAGTAATAAAAGTAGTAGTAGATACTAAAAAAGTACTATAGTTAGTAAAGGTAGTAAAAGTAGTAGTAAAGGTAGTAAAAGTAGTAGTAAAGGTAAAAGTAGTAGTAAAGGTAAAAGTAAAGATAAAAGAAGTAATAGTAGTAGTTTTATAAGTTATATTAATAAACTTAGACTTTTATAGATAATAGTCTATTCTTAGTAATAGATTATTATATAGTAAAAATAAGGTATTTTAGGGTAGCCTGTCTTTATAGGTAGCCTAAGTTATAGGGTAAGGTCTTTACAGTGTAACTAAGTCTTATGTTTAGAGCCTTATAACACAAGATATTATATTTCTATTCTCTAGTGTGTGCCTACAGAGGATTAGCTGTTCTTACTATTTGGTACCAGGGAGATGTTGTCAGCTTAGTAGAGCAGGAAGCTAGACTTTGGTCGTTGCATCTTAATGCTAGCCTACAGTGTTTAACAGAGCGGCTTAAAGTATCTAATAGAACATTAGTGCAATCGGTCGACTGCGTACAATCTTTAAAGCATTAACAATTAAGGTTAGCAGCCTATTCTTCTTATACGTGCCTAAAGCCAGACACATCCTTGTACCTGGACATTGCCTTCCAAATGAATCCTGAACACCCTTTCTTAAATGTCGACCTAGGATTGTTCAATCTTTCTACTGTCAACCTGCCGCGCTTTATTGACCGCAGTCAAATACCGGCCTACCATTTTGACAGTTAGCGCCCAAACACCCAATTTATTACAACAAAAATGAATGCGGGCTCATGGAGGCATCAAATGAGAAATATGGTCACTACTCGCCTCCTTAAAGTTCTTACGGCTCTTTAGTGATTCCTATTCAGCATCCTAAAGTCGCAGCCATCTAGCGTGGAAGAACATCTAGACTTACGAAAGACTGGGCTGTTCCGACGACACTAGAAATCATCCTTCTTAGTAAAGGATTGGAGCAGGGGCGCGCCTGGTGTTGACAGTAGCAGTGTAGGTTTAGTGCATCCACGTAACCTAGGAAAGGACAATATAGGCCAGACAAGCGCATCACATTAAACCGGAATCATCCTATTTTCTTTCCTAGGCTTCTTTTCTTCTCTGGATACCACTCCTCTTTTATTAACACCCTACAGTAATTAATAGAAGGGTAACAGTCAGGCTATTAGCACTATATAGCTCAGATAAAAAACCCCAAAAACTATACATTGCTGTAACTGAGCCTCCACAGGGTAGTTGTTAGTCATAAGCCCCCTAAACCTCACAGTGTTGTGCTGGCAAGGGAGATCTAGGTATAAGATACATAAGACGCTTAAGTAGCCTCTAGCAAAACTCCCGGGGCGGCAAATCAGTAAGAACCTATTTCCCTCTGTTGCCCTCTGTTGCTCCTGCTGCCCCCTGCTTCCCTCTGCCTCCCTCTGCTCTCTGTTGCTTCTGCACTGTGTTGCTTTCTGTTGCTCTCTGTTACCCTCGAATGCTCTTGGCTTAATATTCTGCTATAGATTCCTAGGATCTATTCTTGATTATTATCTAATTAATGCAACCAAGTAAAAAAGTCTTTATATTCTAACAAGCTAAAAGGGACAGGCGCTAAAAGACACGCTAGTCAGTTGTCTAATTATAACAGGGGCACGGACACTGGAGAGTCTACGCATAAGATTTCCCCACTGTGACTTTGTTGCTCGCAACTTCCGTTCTGGCTTCGCGTCTCCTCCAGTCGCTTGCTCCGGAACAAGCAGTCTCTGAAACCGTATGGTCCCCTGATGCAGATAGTGCCTATTTACGCACTTCAATAGGTCTAGCCGGACTGGCCGAAGCTGGAAGACCCACTCTTACTTATTAGAATGCTGCGCCAAAAACCCCCTACTCATGTAGTCGGTATTCAGCGTTGCACATCTGACTAATACCCCCGGGTATATTATAGGCCATCAGGATCACCTTATTAAGCTATCCTTCCACTAGAAAATGCCGCACAAGTTTTTTTGTTATTGTGCTATGTTGTTTTTATAGCGTTTTCTCCCAAGGAACCAGTTAAATGTCTTGCGCTAGGATGTTAAGACTAAAATATTACATGGTTAATATTAGACCCCGAAGCATTGAATTAATCTAAAAGCATAAACATTTAGTTAATCTCTGTGGTAGCAAACCCGCACTACTAGGCAACTGTGGCCGTGCTTCTCCGATTAGCTCCACTAACAGTACTTCTAGATTCTCACGCACAACCAGGTAAACAAAGTATAATAATCAAGGTGTCTTGTCCTTTCAAACCTTATTCTACAAAGCATAATATATTACAGATCTTTGTTTACACTAGTCTTACTTATCAGCAATTTGTCCTTCTTATCTTCTTATCTTCAACATGCAGTTCCTTAACACAGCTGTCTTGATTTTCGGTCTATTAAGTGCAGCATGCGCTATAGCAACCCCGGCTAGGCCTTACAAAGCTGATAATCTCGAGACTACTGATGTCAAAGCTGGTGATCTCCAAGCTCAATACGAAGCTTATGATCTCGAACGTCGCAAACCTACAAGAACCAGACCCAAAAGGCCCAACAGACCTCAACGCCAGAAAGTTTGCAAGAAAACCGATGAGTGGTGCGCTTCTGATAGCGAATGTTGCAGCAAGAGTTGCGAAAAATCCTTAACAAACACGTGCGACTAAGTATTGTTACTCAATATTAGTGTAACGCTTTAATGTTGGTACCCTGCCCCTTTTGCCCTATATATAACCTTATAATACTAAACTCAAGTAGTGTTATTGCTGTCGCTTTAAAAATAGCATTAATAGGGCTTAAACTACACAGAATCTAGTTTTAAATATATAGGATATAAGAGGTTATTTTTGTTAAAGTGTATAGATACAGTAGTTAATTACAGCAGTCTCCCTAGTTAATTAGGCGTATATTAATAGTGTAACTATTAGTAAATTTACTGTAGTTATAGCCTTGAATTTATAACCTTTTAAGCTATATATTCGTTGTCTAAAACACTACTTTTAAGTAGGGAAATCTAGGTAGCTAATAATAGTAATATTTAGCTAGTTTTAGTAATAGTTAATTACTACACTTTAATATACCCTCTTTAAATAAAGCTAGTTAAAGGTTTAATTTACTAATCTATAGTTAATAAGCTAATATTACCTAAAAACCTTAACCTTAATTACTTTTACTTACTATATAGGTATTAACTATATATAAGATAAATAACTAAAACTAAAGTATATTCTATTGTCTATTGCCTCTTGTTAAGAGAGGTAACCTAAATACACTATTTACACCTATACCTAGCTTTTATCCTATATTAATTATTTAGCTCCTTGTTACTACTTACCCTGCTTTACTACTCTACTATTACACTTTACCTTTGTACTATATTACTTTATATTACTTATTAAAGTCTTACTTCTTTAACTTAATCTATAATAGCTAGTTAAAAGGCTATATAAAAAGAAGTACATAAATAACTTAGAAAGTCTTTATAAGTAAAACTATTTTTATATAGTATAATATTATAGTGTACTTTAAACTATAGTATCTTAATATTATTAGATATAAGTTACTCTTTATTATTAATAATAAGATTATATAATATAGTAAAAAGATTAAATAGATTAATAGTATTAATATTAAATTCTTTTTCTAGTGAATAATATTTTTCTTTTTCTAAGTCGTCTAAAAGTATAAAAAAAATAAAGAATATGAAGTTATTAGTAAAGTATACTAAGTTAACTATATTTATTACTAGTATTATATAATTATTATTGATACTAGGACTAATATTATTATAGTTATTAACCTCTTCTTCTAGTTCTATATACTCTCTATAGTAAAAACTACTTTAAAGTAAAGATAAAGTTCTTTTATAGAATCTAGAGTATAATGTTTATATTAGTATAATAGTTATTATAAGGCTAGATTATTTAAAAAGTAATATAAGGTTCTTATAGCTTACTTTAAGATATAGTCTTACGTAGTTCTTTATATAGTTAAGTTAAGAATTAGAAATAGTATATTTACTTATAGAGATTAATAAGAACGCTCCTAGAATTAATATAGACACTTTATCTTTATAAAGACTCTACTATTTATTATTTTAATTAGTTCTAAAAAAAGCTATTAGTATAACTAAATTCTACTAGTCTTATAGAGAATAGCTTTCCTTCTCTTATTCTTTTTTATAATAAGGATAATTTATATAACCTTAGTTTTATTTAAACTACTTATTTATATATAGCTATTAAATAGGTATAAGGAGTTAATATATAAGTATAAGTCTTATATAGATATAAGATATATATACTTAAATTAGTCTAAAAAAGAAATATTAGTATAACTAAAGTCTACAAAATCTATATAAGATAGCTCTTTTTTTTCTATTTCTCTTTATAATATTCTTCTTTATAATAAAGTTAATTTATTTAATCTTAGGTTTATCTATAGTGTTTACCTACTATAGCTTTAGAATATATTTTATAATATAAAATATAACTATTCTAGTTTCTTACTATAGATTATATCTATAGAAAGTAACTAGTTATTAATTATAAGCTACTACTACTATCTAGCTACTTATTATTATTATTCTTCTCTAGAACTAGCTATTTTAGTACTAACTTATTCTATAAAGCTAGTAATCTTAAAAAGTAAAATAACGTTATAGCTAGACCTTTATTAAGTTTACTATAAGATATTTAATATTTTTTATACTATAAAATATATAATCTGAGTATAAAGCTAGTACTTTACTTTACTTACTATTTTCTTAAGAAGATAATAAGAACTTAGTAGGCTATTTTTCTTTAACTTTCTTAAAAGTATAATCTTTATCTTTCTTATAAATAGTTTTAGTAATCTCTCTATTTTACTACCTAGTAGTTTAATAGTACTTTTAATCTTATTTAATAAGTTATTAAGACTAATTAGTAGCTAATAATAGTAGTTTTTTAATAATAGAAGTATATTAATTAATAGTGAAAATAAAAAGGTCTTTAAGCTAATTTATTACTTTATTTACTGCGTTAAAAATTCTCTTTCTTTTAATTAAAAGACTTTTTTTAATATATATCTTTTTACTACACCTAAAGTAACAGATCCTCTTCTTCTTTAATAAGTTAAATCTTAAATTTACTAATTCTTAGTAATCTAGAAAACCTTCTTAATACTCTCTTTAGTTAAGTTAATATCTTTATAAAGGCTAATAGATTTAGTATTATAAAGTAGTATAAATAACGTATATTGTTAGTATATAGGTAATATAGCTAGAGGCAGTAGGTTATATAATACACTGCCTACTAGCAGAATCCTTTACCTTTGCCTATACGCAAAGGTACTACTACACTTGTGCTCCTACTTTACCTTGTTAATAAGTTAACTATTAATAACTAATAATTTAACTACCTTTTCTTAACCTTTATAATATTATAAGATAAAGATCCTTATTAATTAACTAGTAAAAACTAACATTAATTAATAGTTAATTATTACTAATAACTAGTAATTAATAAGGCTTACTATTATAGGAGTTTACTTAGCCTACTATAACTTAGTAGACTACTAACTAAGTTAAGTATTATTAAGGCTACCTTACTTTTATAAGAAACACTATAGTGTCTATTACACTATTAGAACCCCTTTAATAAGTAAAAATCTCTTCTATACTAACTATAGCGCTATTAAGAAGAGACACTTAAGTAGTAATAATTACTACCTTATTTAACTTTCCTCTTTATTTTTATATCTACCTTTTAGAAAACTATCTTTATTTACTTTATATATATAAAACTAACCTAGTACTATCTAGACTTATAAGTATAAGTTATATTAAAAAGAAACTTACTACTTAATTACTACTATAAAAGTTATATAGTAATTACTACTAATTAACCTTAATAACTAACCTTATAATAAGTTAATTTAGTAGTACTTTACACCCTAAGGTGTTTACCTCTATAATAAAATATATTAACTATAAGAAGTATAGCTAAGAAATCCTTCTTAATAAACAAGACCTCTCTACTATTTACTTCTACTTTACTTATTATATAGCTAAATAGGCTAAATATACCTTTATAGGTTATAAGCTCTAGAGGGACTTTTAATATTACTTTAATAAATAAGATAAAGACCTCTTTAGTGCTACTAGTAAAACACTACTATTAATTTTTTATAACTTCCTCTTTAACTAAGGCGTCTTTATACCTAAAGACTATTAATAAATTACCTTATACCTTATTACTATTATTAATAATAATAAGTTTTATATATAGATAGATAAAGAAGTTAAGAAAGTATAGTATAAGTTAGTAATATTTAATAGGCTTATTAAAATATATAATAGCTTCCTAAATAATATTTAATAAGGTTATATTAGCCTAGAGTAGTATAAGTAAAAACAGTAATAGTAACCTATTACCTATATAACTAAATAAAGCCTAGTACTATTTATAAACCTTAAGTAATAACTAGTAATAATATAGGCCTAACTTAATAAATAAGTATAGAAGTTATAGTAGTAAAAGCAGTAAACTCTAGTATTACTATAGTAGACTTAATCTATATAAGATTTACTACTTCTTCTATATAATATAATATAGGGACTATCTTAATAAGGTAATAGTTTATTATTCTTCTTTACCTATTCTTAATTATAGTAAGAACTCTTTACTTACTTATACACTAATCCTATAGAACCCTAAGGTATAGGATAACTACTATTAATTAAGAATAATGCTATTAGTAACTATCTTTCCTCTTAGTAATTAAGTACTTTAACTAAGATTATTACTAATAAATCTAAGTATACTAGTAAAATATATAATATATTTAATATTAAGTTAAACTTATTCTATAATAACTATAGTAAAATTAGTATTAAGAGACACTAAATAGTATTAGCCTTTTTATTAATACTTAAAGATAAAGCTTTTACTTTTTATTTTACCTAAATTAGTAGTAAAAATATCTAAGACCTTACTACTATAGTTACCTAAATAAGAGCTTATTTAAAAGCCCTAAAGCTATTTAGATATACTTTACTAAGTAGTAAAATACTACTTTTTACTATATTATATATAATAACCCTAAGAAGAGTAAGCTTAAAGTGCTTAAGAAGCTTATTAATAAGCTTACCTTAATCTAGTAAGTACTACTTAATAGCTACTATAATAATAAAGTCCTTTAATTTTAGCTATTAAATACTTACTCTAGGGTTTATAAGTATAAATTATACCTATTTAATTTAGTGTCTATATTAGAAGAAGTCTATAACTAACTATAGTTATTAGTAAATACTACTATAAAATATAATAATAAGGTTAGTTAGTACTAGGTAGACCTTAATAATTAATACTAGGTTAACTACACCTACTATAGCTAAGGGTATAACTAGTAATTTAGTAATAACTATAGTAATAGTAACTATTATAGTAATAATAATAGTAACTATAATACTAAGAAGTACTATATCTACTATAAGCTAGGTTATTAGTTAATAAAATATACTACTAATAAATAATATAAGGTATATTAATAATTTAAAAATAATACTAAGTAAAAGACTCTTTATTAACTATATATTAAACCTTTTTTATTAGCTATAAAGGTAATTACCTATAAAAGAAGAAGGTAATAAAGATAATAATAAGGACCTTAGTTACTACCTCTAAGGTAACTATACTTTTAATAGTAGTAAAGATAAACTAGAAGGTAATACTTTTATACCTCTACTATATTCTTTAGTAGTACTACCTTTAGTAGTAATAAGCTTACTACTAGCCTAGCTAACTAAGCTATCTATTACTAGTTAATAAAAGATAACCCTAATATAGTATTATTAGATCTAGCTACCTTTTTATATTAGATTATTACTTATTAGGTACTTTTTAAGGTATTCTACCTAATATAGATGTAGTAACCTTCTCTACTACTAGTTACCTATAAGTAACTAC